CCATATAGGTCAAAACCTTAATTACAAGCGCAAAAACGTAAGTGCACAACGCGTTGCCGTCCGCTTACTAAAATACAGCTTTTCAGAAAAGACAAGCTTTTAGTTCTTAGCTTCAGTTTAGCCTTTTAGTTTCAGACCACTGAAATTTCATTTCAAGTATCATACTCGTAACTTAATGACTGCAATATTGAAGTAAATCTTTCTCTTCATTTAGATTTGAAGAAGCCTAATCTAAAAATATAACTCAAAGGTGACTGACTGACTGACTGACTGACATGGTGATCTATCAACGCACAGTCCAAACCACTGGACGGATCGGGCTCAAAATTTGGTATGAAGGTAGATTTTATGACATAGGCATCCGCTAAGAAAGGATTTTACGAAACTCCACCCCTAAAGGGGTAAAACTGGAACCACGCGTACGAAGTCGCGGGCGGCCGCTAGTTCCAAGATAAACTACGGAGATTGGAAATGCTTTCGGCTTTTATAAAAATAACGAAGCAATGGCAAAGTAGTTCTTGCTCTACGAATAAAAAGGTTATTACGGCTTAGGTATGATGTGTATTGTGATTTGTGTCTTAGAATGAAAAGACCTAAATAACCTACGAAAACACCTCGTATGCGTTACATTATAACCTTGCCTACTCGTAGACAAACATTGGATTGTTAAAAAAAAATAGCGGAATATAATGCTGCCTACCACACAAAGCAACAATAGAAAAAGAACGGCTCAAACTACGAGTACCTATCAGGTGTCTTCAGAGTAATAGCAATCTTGTTTATGATGCTGAGACACGAACTCACTATGAACCAATCTGAATAGGTAATCTCCCAGTATTAGGCGTAATATGCTACATTTCTACTTTAATCTTAGAGCCACATCAGACCGAAAATAACATTTTAAATAAATTTCACCTTTAACCCGATTAGCTAATGGATATTGAAAAATAGACTAAAATAAATCCCCGCTGGGTAATAGAATTAACAGTAATAATTGAGCTGCCCAGTCGTCTAAAAGCTTAGTTTGAAAACAAGGTACTACTTAACTCTACTTTTTTAAACAGTGGCATGCAAACTACGAGAAACAAATTCGAAAGCAAAAAATGGCTTTTACCCGTTTAAAATGTTTTTAAACATTTCTGGATCTCTAATCCGATTATGAATATTATTTTACCAGATGAAACACAATTTCCAAGTATGTATATTTTATTCTACAAAAGTAGAGCTCCTAGATACAGAGGGCTCGCTGTATCGAAGGACGGGCGAAGGCTAGTATTCAATCAAAGAAAGCTTTGATCTATTTTCCATTTGACCATGGATATCTAGTAAATTGGTTTGAATTGCATTGGGTCATGGTGCTGATGCATAAAGTATAATAAAGTCAACAGCAATTTGTCTAGGGAGGCCAACATATGGCCCTCATCTAATTATACGTTTCTAAGCAATAGGTAGTACTTATTTATCGGGTATTTCAAGGATTTTTAAAATAGGTCACATAGAAACTACAGTTTTCAACTTTCAAAATGTTTTAGTTCGATCTAAATTAGAAGCTATTAGAATTAAAGGGCAAAAGAAGCTTTCGTTCGGTGCGAGGCCTTTCTTGCGATGTCCTATCAAAAAAACTATACATTTTTGCTTAGGTTGGTACTTGGTACATCAGCAACCTTTAGAATCTAGGTCACATAACAAAATACTTGAATAGTTTGCCTACCATGGAAGCTATGTCATAAAATTGTCTGAAAAATACCTTTTGATTTTTTACCTGAAATTCTTGATAAATTGAAGTATTTTTTCATAAACCTTGTAGCTACACAAAACTGGGTTCATTGATAAATTCCAAATATTGTAGAGGGATTTGATTGAAATCTCCGAACTGGAGATTTTTGATGAAAACCCAGTTATCGGCTTGGCCTTTTTAGTCCAGTAGAATTAGCTTTTAAATCGGAAATAATTCCTACAAAAGATTTTATTGTTTTAATGGCTTCATTGGTTGCCCATTAAGACTCTCCTAAGTTTTCGACTTCGACGGAGTTGTGCTTAAGTGGTGGGGGCCCCCGAAAGAGGCATTTTTTCGGTTTTCCGGTTATACCGCGTAAAGGACTTACCCTATCAAAAAATGGTCTTCATAACGGTTGAAGGGCACTTAATCCTGCATTGAATAAGACCAAATTCATATGTTCTGGACAAACCGTTCTCGAGCTAATGTTCGGCAAAGTAGAAAATATACGTATAATTAATGACCCTCTCCACGTCCAATGGTTTGTTACCCACAGGCTTCCAAGTCTTGAAAAGGGCCACCTCAACCAGTGTAACCCTATCAAGGCTTACGAGCTTGATGCGCCTATCCTTGTTCGTCCCAGCCGTTCCTTAACTGCGGTTGCTGCACCTCTTCCTGGCACTCACCTGAACGACTCTGTGTTACCTACTGTGGCTGCCCCTCTTCCTTGTATCCTCCTGCATGACTACGTTGCCTAGCCGTATGCCTGGTCTAAGGTTCGACGCCAAAAATCAACAACAACAAGTTCATATTAAAACGCTGAAGAGTTTTTTGTTTGTTTGTTTGAACGCGCTAATCTTAAGAATTACTAGTTTGATTGAAATCATTATTTTTGTGTTGAATAGCTCATACATTGAGGAAGGCTATAGGATATATACAATCACTCTACGACTAATAGAGGCGAAGCAGTAAAGAAAAATGTTGCAAGCACGGAAAATAGTATTTAAACTATTTTCACGCGTACAAAGTTGATTTTGTGGCGTCGAACCTTGGACCAGGCATATAGCTAAGCAATGCAATCGTACAGGAGGGTACAAGGAAGAGAGGCAGCCACATAAGGTAACACAGAGTCGTTCAGGAGAGTGTCAGGAAGAGATGCAGCAACCGCAGTTAAGGAACGGCTGGGACGAACAAGGATAAGCGAATCAAACTCTTGAGCCTTGTTAGGGTTACACTGATTAAGGCGACCCTTTACAAGGCTTGGAAGCATGTGGGTAACAAGCCATTGGACGTGGCCTCTCCACGTCCAATGGCTTGTCATGAATTATACGTATATTTTCTACTTTGCCGAACTTTAGCGCGAGAACGGTTTGTCCAAAACATATGAATTTGATCTTATTCAATGCAGGATTAAGTGCCCTTTAACCATCATGAAGACCACTTTTCGATAGGGTAAGTCCTTTACGCGGTATAACCGGAAAACTGAAAAAACGCCGCTTTCGGGGCCCCCACCACTTAAGCACAACTCCGTCGAAGTCGAAAACTTAGGAGAGTCTTAATGGGCAACCAATGAAGCCATTAAAGCAAAAAAATCTTTTGTAGGAATTATTTCCGATTTAATCAATTTTTGTGTTTAATTCTACTGGCCTATTTTGAAACTGATTGCTTTTGCGAGCGAATGTTTACGAATCCTTTTATATTGGCAGCTGCCGAGCTGGTTGGGCAACACTTCGGTTATTTTTTGTTTGTTTGATGTCACGTGGTATTTACGGGGAAGCCTGCATAAAACGGAGTTGTGTCACCAACATTTTTACGCCTGTTATGTGTCCAATTGAATTAACACGAATTCCATTTCGGGGTTTTGTAATTGACTTACTTTATGCTGAACAAAAATATTAATAGGTTAGGTACTTAATATACATTGTATAATACGGCATACTTCTAATTATTCAACACTTACTCAAGACTCATTTAGGTAACTATAAAGATAAGAATACCTATTAGGCATCAAATAAATCGCACCTCCCGCGACAAGCACTTTCAAAGGTATGCATCCCCACTTCCCACCAATATTGGTACCATTTGAAAGCCTAGTTCTAAACTTCATTAAAGGAAAGGTTTTTACCCCAAAAATGTGTCTTTAGAAGGATCTAGTGTCACTTCTTAAAGCGACAGGAGTGCCAAACGGTTATGTAATTCGTCAAAAGTAGTTATAGACATTCTAAAGTACTGGAAAAACCTGTCTTCATGTGCTCGTAGATCTGGGTATAATGTATAGAATACACCTAATGCATCTCTTTTCATATTAATTGGATGAACCCAATAATTTCTTGATATTTCTTTCCAGCGCAGATATTTTCGTCTTCGATATAAAAGCCACATTGCAATTATTTGTTCACGGTCCATCTTTGAAAGTATGAAATGAACGAGACTGTACTCTTGTCGGCTCTCTAGTCGATACTGCCGTCATTAACCGGGGCGGGTGAAAGCTCATTTGACGCCGGGTAGCCGGCGCCGGATAGCCGGCAACCGGAACGTGTGAAAAGGCACTTATGGTTATAAAATTGTAAAATTGGGATTAATCGCTATCCATCTGTTAAAGAGGACACGTGAGATCATTACTTGTTAGGTTTTATAACCACACAATTTGGTCTAATTGGTACCACAGGTGAGCCCCACCCAAGTGAGGCTTTTTTCAAGTCACATTTATAGTACCTGTTAATTGTTTATAAAAAAATATAGCTACATATATGTGTTTTTCTTTTAGTTTATAAATTATTGGAATTTTTAATAAGACCAATATTGGTGGGGTACCATGATTGTGTCAGAAGAAAATCTTTAAAGTTGTTGCCGCGGGAGATGCGATTTATTTGATGCCGAGTGTATTTTGAACCAGGTGCTGTAATTAGTACTTTGGAGATAATAGCTATCAATTGTGTGATGTACTCACAACATTTGAAATAGTCTTAATAAAGGTTTTTAAGGATTTTATTACTCGTGACTACTATCCATGACTGGTAGACTACTCGCACTTGACAGAGTTCTTTATTAAGTACTGTAGATTCACAATTTATTGAAATATGTGTAATTTTAAATCCAGAGGTGGAGATGGGATAGAGGGGGAAAAGGAAAAAGGTTTTAATAAAAAAACACTTGCAGTGTATACATATATATATTTAACATTGATCAGTCTAACTAAACAATTTGCAGAGCAATACACGAGTATACATAAAATAACATACATTTATATTTTAACTCTAACTAAAATGTGTCGTTTATCATTTCTATTTAAATATATTCAACTCTGATGTGCGTATATTTAGAATCTGTTTTATTATCATATCTATTACTGTGATCATAAGTTGTAAATATGGCTGTATTTGGTGAAGCTACATAACGTTCAATAAATTCCTATTTTCTGCAACTACTATGTGGCACAGTGAGAGTGTCAATATCAATTGACTGAGATCTCTATTTATAATTACTTTAACACGTAAATGATTCAAAAAATAATTCGCTACTGTCAGGTCAGACCTGACCGGTCATATGAGACACAATATTATATAATATATATTCTGTTACGTAACATAAGTTCTTTGGAGTCTTAAATTCTTAACTATTTCAGCATAGATATTTAGAATCTGGTTTTATCTTGAAATGCAGTAATCAACTATTAGAATTAGTAGCTTTAAAATACATTTAACATCCATTAAATATTTTTCGAGTAATGTAATCAGATCTACTTCTTAAACATTGATAAAATGTGTATTTCCTTAAATAGTACCTACTTACACTGTTAATAGTGTGATATTATGTTTCTCTACTGTCTTCATCTTTGGTAACATTGACTATACGAATACATAGTTGCATTAGTGTGTATGCATCATAATATAGTGCAGAAAATCTTGAAATACTTCCTTCTAAATACTATTACTTATTTTTATCAGTTTTTATAACAATGACCGTTTAATTCGAACGCTATATTGCGTTTTGTGAGCCTGCAAATATGCTGCCAAAGACTTCATAGAGATACATAATAGAGTAAACTCAACTTTGTAAGGCCTTAAACTTTTAGTTCTTTGGTAATGTGCTTACAGAATAAATCGAGATTTCATTACATAAACATTATTTAGCTAACAATTCAGTACGGGTAAGTAGGTAACTTGAACTCTATATACACTTCCGTGGCAGAATCGATAAGATATGTATCAGGATAATGTATAGTTACGTGTAAATATAAATATAATATTAATAATATGATATACAAATCAAAATTATTTAAATCCTTTAGTAATTATAATATATTTCTTTAGATATTCGTATAATTTGGTTGCTTATCATAGTTGCTATGTATGAGTATGGAGTTTGCCAACACACTGTTTTACTAAACAAACTTTCCCAGGTTCTCAAGTTGCAGAACATTTTACGAAAATGGGATGATCCAACACAATTCCAGACACCACGAATACCACGATTAGGTCTTTAACTCTTTAGTTAGTTTCGTCGAGCGTGCTTTAATATTCGTTTACATAGTAACACGTACAGATGTCGCGTTACTTACCCCTGTCCAATTTAGTTATTTCTGCTCTTGCACATTTTACACTTCCCAATTTATTATGCTCTTTCAAATATACCATTGCATCCGGTTATTTTTAGATTTTTTTTGTAATTTATTATTCTATATTGACGATATCCATATTGTTAAGCTAAGTATGCGCTAAATATAATGCGCTCGATGATATTCAATATAGGCCGAGTAAAATAACGGGTAGTAATAATAGTTACCAAAATGGATCGAGTAGCGCAGATAACAGACGAGGGCCGGGAAAATGGGCCCTTTGTTTGTCATGGGCAGGTGTCGTGCACGGATTGGATTTCGGCTTGTTTTTACTGGCCTATGTACGGTCCGCAGTTCTGTTTGCGATCGACCACCTAAAAGATCTTTTTGCCATGTCAACACGCGAATTGCCTGTTGTCTGCACAACCACATCAAAGCTAAAAGTTTTGTTCCCGGAATCGTATGTGAGAATTATTACTTTAAACTACGAGTCGAGATCTGTTACTTCAGTTATGTACCCTTTTTGCCGGTGTCAGTCAGACCCTCGACTGGTCCGATTTATTAGTCCGTGGAAACAACTGTGATAGGTAATAAAAACTAGTTGAAATGTAAAGTATTTTCATATCTTAATGGTGACACTGTAAGCCGTTTCAGATTTTAGGTCTTATTTGTATGTAAATGCATCTAACTCTTTACGCCATTTTAACGGCATTAAGAATAGCTGAAGGGGTTTTGTCAATAGAAAGCGGAGGTTGAAGTCTTTGATCGTTACAGAATGCTCTCGGTGTTGATGGACGAGTCATCATTATTGAGATCTTACTACATTTACCTGACTACTAAACATGTTAAATCCGCTTTAAACGCTCTAAGTTGAGCTCACCTAAACACGATGCTTAAACTGACGTTTTCATTAGTTACTAACTAACAAACCATTTTGGATCCGAAAACGTGCTTAACATGTCGTCGAAATACGAACATGTGGTCTAAGTGTGGATGCAGTGGTTTTAACTCGGTGTTTGTCAATTGAACTGTTAATTGCTAGGTTTAATTGTCCATTGGGGATTTTGTAGGTGATAGATCGTGGCACACAGTGAGGGTAAAATTAGAATCCAGGGATGAAGAAAGAGATGATTTTGAAGAGTAGCACGAGGATGTAGCGCCAGGGTTGGAGGAGGTTCGGCGCGAGGGCAGGCGCGCGCGGGGTTGGCGCGGCGAGGGCCAGTTAATCCTTGGGCTGCGGTTTCACTATCTCGCACTTGCCGGGGGTGGCCGGGGTCGGCTCCTCGGTGAACATCGGGTTCTTCACCTCCATGTCACCAGTCTGATGCACACAAAATAAAATTAACTTGTGTAACCCTAAGTGGTCGCATGAGGTTGCGGTAACAATAGATTTCTATTGTGTCTCAATCCACGGGTAAAGGTTGAAGGGTTAAGGGGCTATAATGAAGTTTGCTCCGTGGGACGTACGTTGGACATGTTTTTCGCAACAATATGATGATAAATTGGGGAGCTGACATCATTCACGAATAAAATCTCTAAATATTCTTAATTCTAGCCCCGAAAACTCAATTAATTTTCATTGAACTGTGAAATTAGATTTTAAGTCTTCTTGAAAGAAGTCAATGAGTAGGCAAACAAGTGACGTCATTCTTGTTTGCATTGCGATAAAAAAATCTATGGAAGAATGTTCCGAGCTTATAAATGTACCTATGTCTATTTTGGTGATGCCGAATACATCGGAAACAGTATCTTTATATTAATAAGGGGATATAATGATAAGATAAGAGATAAGACCAGTTAGGATTTAGAGTTTTCCCACCCAGTCGCTTACAATCGGTATTCATATTAGCACGTGCCAGCGCGCCCGTTCGCAAATGAATGCATGTTCTTTACACGTGGCAAGTAAGTAAGCGGAGCGTTCCACGCTCGCGTCGCAATGAAATTATTTAGTCACATAATGTAATATCTTGAACAACGGAACTCTGCACTACGGTATACGAAGCCAACAAACCAAAATGTCTGCGATTTTATAACTAGGTATTTACCTACAAGATTTATTTGTATGTGGAAATGCAGTCGTCGAACCATTCTACGACAGGTAGCGTTGAACGAAAATTTTTTAGAGATTGTTCTTGAAGGGTTAATGTGACTTGTGGCAGAGTTGCAGACATACTTAGCCAAAGTGTGACATGGAGTAATAGAAGGAAGGAAAGCGACAAATATGCAAAGAAAAAGGAATAATTCAAATTATACATCACCGTGGCAAATCCAGGGCACTCGTAGACAGTGTAGTCGCCCTCCTCGTTCTCCTCCTCAGATTCAGGGTCAGACACCGATCCGCTGCGTTGCTCCATCCCGTTCCTACATTAGAAAAAATCAAATTAAGCTTCAAAAAATAAATTAAGAACTAAATTTTATTTAGCTCGGTCCTTGTCATAAACAGATTACTAGGTAGGTACTTTGAAAACTTCTAAAAGGTGAAATGGCAAAACATGACGTAATGGATGGTAAACCTCTTATTGTTCAAGTATAAAATATCTTCACTATAAGAGCAAAGTATTGCATGAGAAATAACTGTATTTTCTAAAATAATTTTACACTGTTCTGCTCAGTTCTTGTTACTTACTGTCGACGCTGTAAAGTCTATCTTAGCAAGCATAATGCCAAGTGCATTTCTTAACATTATTTATTGGAACGTAATAACAGTTCCATAAATAGAGGCACTTAGTCTTGACGTTTGTTAGTGTTTTAAAGTAAAAAGGTACAACTCAGCCTTAAAGTGTCACACCCATTTCAAGTTTAGTTAAAGCAGAGCGTTAATTTTTAGAAAATAGTTAACATTTTAATAAACAGCTAAATTTTTATAACGAAAACAGGCTGGCCATACAAAAGGTGGGAAGTAAAATTTTTTGACATGTATTGATGAAGTAAAGTCTAGTCATGAAAAATATAAGTTTTTGACACTGAGGGGTCAGAGCGTTAGCTTGAGTTAGGGCCCAAAGTTCTTTTTTACCTAATGGTTCAATACTTAGTTGACTTTATGATAAAAATGTCTATGAGAAGTAATAAAGACGATAAAATTTCAAGTATTTCAGTAATTTTTATTTACATAATCGTCGCGTCGCGTAGATAAAAAGTTACACAAATGTGAAAATGGACATTTGAAAGAACGCATGATACTCGTAGTTGGATGGCGAATTCAGTTCAAGAACAAACTTTTTACTTTTCCATTCAAAAAATTGGTAATATTGGCAAAGTGAAAAGAAGCCAAAAGGGAAAAGTGTTTTCTTTTTTACTTAAACCATTAGAGATAATAAAAGGATATCATAAAGTCAACTATTCAAGCATTAGGTAATAAAGAACGAATTTTAGGCCCTTTAACTCAAGATGGCGGCCAACGCTCTGTCTGACCCCTCGAGGTCGAAATCTTTTTTCATGACTAACATATTTTACATCGGCTGTGGTTATTCGTAATAAATAAATAAAAAATAGTCTATACTTAATCTATGCAAATCAAAACATTTGACTGTCCACCTTATGTCGGGCAAAAAATTATAATGACTGGAGTAACTGGACCAAAAAGACAGATAAAGTGGGTTAAAATATCAGGATTGTGTTTTCGATCAAGATATTTTATATCAGAATGTCTGTCAGTCAGAACTCATACTAAAATAGAGTTGATATACTTAGGGCGTTTAAAGTAGGAATTCATCTATCGACTCTTTTATTGAGATACTCGTTGTTTACAGCTTCAATTTTTTGTGCTCTATGATATATAAAGCACACATGGATCGAATCGAGCGAATCCCAACTATCCCAACTAATATTATAAATGCGAAAGTAACTCTGTCTGTCTGTCTGTCTGTCTGTTACGCTTTCCCGCTTAAACCTCGCAACCGATTTTGATGAAATTTGGCATAGAGATAGTTTGAGTCCCGGGAAAGAACATAGGATAGTTTTTATCCCGGTTTTTGAAACAGGGACGCGCGCGATAAAGTTTTTCTGTGACAGACAAAATTCCACGCGGGCGAAGCTGCGGGCGGAAAGCTAGTGACTTATAAACTAAATCAAAAGCTCAAGCTATCTTTGAAACGCAGCAACGAATCAACAAAGAAAACAAATGAATGAATTCCCCGATTTTTCACAGCGGCAAACATTTCACACTTCGAAACATATCCACTTAGAAATACTTAGTCAAAAATGGAAATTGGAAACGAAACATTTCTCGTTTTCGTGCTGTAATGTCGGCACGTAGCACGTGTATCGAAACCCTTTCATGCATTCCATGCTGGAGTTTGAATTGACTGAACGGAATTTTTCCACTTTAATTTTCTTTGCTGCTATCTCGTGGAAATATACTCGTAATTGTACTATACTATACTCGTTTGAAGCCGATAAACGCATGGAACGAGAAGACTTAGAAAACGTTTCTAGAGAATAAATACCAAAGCCGTGAAAAAGTGTTTGTGGGTATAGAAAAATATAATAATCTGCATGAACGCTCCATTGCTTTGCTCCACGACGACAGTATTCGTGTGCAGTCATTGGATGAAAATCGAATATTGAGTGATTCGTTGAGCAAAGCTTGAGAATGCCAAAGAGCAAGTTTGATTCCATTTTGAAATTCTGATGGCGGTAATTCGGTGCTCGTTAGCGAATACAATGGTGCTCGCTCTCGAATTTTGACACACGCTAGTTAAGGGACACCATTATTCCACGAACGATGCAGAATGAAAAATACAGCTCCACATTCACTTTGAAAATTCTGTTAGAATTGTAGCTGGATGAAAATATTTTTATAGCAAACAACAAAGGCGAGTTTTGCTTTAAAAACGTTCCTTACCTTTGTTTAACCTGGAATATTTTTCCTTTTGTTCTATTGCCAACTTTAAATGGAAAATAATACATTCTCCACTGCATGGTAATACCCATAATTGTTGTATGTTTTGATTTAGCACACACTCTGGTTTCCTTTGTTTATTATCCTCAGATGAAAATGATTGCTTTAATGATTTTAAGTTCATTACACTTTTGAAATGAAATCAAATCACATTATTCATCATAGGTGATAAGTACACAGTTGATATGACAGTGTGTATGCAGTTACTCGTTAGATGCGCAATGGCATACGAAATTACTCTCTGTCTTTGTAAATGCAATCTATATATATAAAAGAAAGTCGTGTTAGTTACTCCACTTATAACTCAAGAACGGCTGAACCGATTTAGCTGAAAATTGTCAGGGAGGTAGTTTAGAGCCAGGAGAAGGACATAGGATACTTTTTATCCCGTTCGAAATTTTAAAAAAAGTCTGCTTATTTATTGCCATTAAGGCGGAACAAAGTTCGCCGGGTCAGCTAGTTAGTAATAAGCGTCGTGTAGCTGGAATTTGGTTAGGACATCTCGCAAATTGCTGGCAATTAAGTAGGTACCTACATCTACATATTCCAGGCACACATAAAGCTATTTGTTAATCATTGTAGAGTTGTATTTTACGTTTGGTTAGGTGAGCTGACTGGGATACTTTTTATAGCTCACTAGCTGACCCGGCGAACTTTGTTCCGCCTTAATGGCAATAAATAACGGGATAAAAAGTATCCTATGTCCTTCTCCTGGCTCTAAACTACCTCCCTGACAATTTTCAGCTAAATCAGTTCAGCCGTTCTTGAGTTATAAGTGGAGTAACTAACACGACTTTCTTATATATATTAGATAATACAAAATGTGCCTGTTTGCTTGTTTTGTTAAGTTTTAACCACCAAACTTGTACGTCGGGGGTGAATTGTAAATTAGTATAGGAAACCTCACATAGCTCAAACCAGAATTGAAAAAGCTGTTTAAAAATAGAAACTTTACAACTAGTTTTACTGCCGCATTCAGATCGCGTGAAGGGCGATAAAGGTTTTCTGTGAAAGACAGGAATTCACGCAAGAGAAGTCGCGGCCAGCATTGTTATTTTAGTTTGAGTTTTATTGACAGGCATCTACGAACTCCCAAGACCGGCGGTAAACCATGTTTGTGCATTGAGCTGGAATGGGTACAGATGACATCACATCGAGGTGATCACACACCTATGTGGATGTGAAAGCTTCGGCCAAACTAACGCGTTGATGAGAACTTATTGCTACAAATTTTAAACTTTGGCTGAACCATTAGATGTTGCAACCAAAGTCTATAGGTTGATGAGTCTACTTACCTTTCCATGGCTATGATCTGCTGCTTCTGGTGCTGGTAGTGGTACATGTGGGCCGAGTGGGCCAGCTTGCGATCCCCGGACATGTCGGGAGTGGGCCCGGTCACCCCGTAGGCCGGGTAGTCCACGTCAGCGGCCATCTTAGCTTTCTTAGACATCCTGATAAACGCAAATTGTGTAAAACATTCTCTTAGGAACCAAATATAATTATAGTGTAGTAGTAAGTTTTAATAAAAAATCAGTCAGATCCGAAAAGGAATGATCCCAGTGCTCCGTTACTTACGCTCTACCTATTTGAGGGTGTTTTTGGCACTCTTGTATATTTTTACTAAATTAAATGTACTTAAATAAAATAAAACACGTTTTGCATTACTCACTGGTACCAGACGAATCCAAGCGAAATTATAACCAGAGTGACAATAGTTGTCGTAGCGGTTATGACTGCCACTCCGTAAATGGAATGGTCAGTTTCCATTGTGGCGGGTTCCATCAAATGAATAGATTTATCCGTTGTTCCAGAATCATCACCAGAGCTGAATCGTAAGAGAGTGAGAGTTAATTGCACGAAAATTTACCAAAGTTCGCAAGCTCCAAAATACGTCAAACATGTGATCAAGGGGGACTTATGATCACGATTGATTTAGTTTTTTATCATGCGAATGTTTTGTCCAATTGGTGCGTGTCTCAAGACACGGGTGCGCGTCGAGGATTGTCTTCTCCGTTTCTCGGTTAATTTTGAATTTGGATGATCGATCACTCGAGTCGAGAGGATCGGCTCGTGCATACGACCCCTGAGCACGCCAACACTAAAAGTGCACATTCGCTGCCTACACACAGGCACTAATTACCACAAGACTTGCTACACAATAACACACAAAAGTGCCGACAGCTTTTAGTCAAAATGATTTGCAGTGAAACAAACAAAACATTTTTTTAAACCAGGTGAATATTCACTCTTGATTGATGCATTCATTCATTGGGTAGCTGTGATCTGTGTAAACGAACAACAGGAATAGGACTTTGGATTGGCTGAACAAGACAAACGAGTATGAAAAGGAGTATGTGTGACGGCGTTTACCAAACCAATCGATCAATTAATAGATCGATGCTATCAATCGACTGTGGAATAAAATGATATAAGCATTAGCCTGCCGATAGACTTTGGCAAGTAGTAGTATAGGTAATCGTTTTTTTTTTCAAAAAGAATTGGTCCTGTATCCTGATAATACAGATTTTTTTTTCTCAACAGTTTAGGTAAATCAAATATGAATCCATGTTACTTATTGTGCATAGAATGGTAGGACCTACGATAAATAGATGCAAGAGTGATATTTATTCATAGTTATTCATATGAATTCTAATAATGGTACATATAAAATACAAAGTACGTTCGCGCACGCACACACACACACACACACACATAAACACGGTCCAATTATGCATGCATAAATATTATAATTTTCATAATTTTTCTTTTTCGTTGTGGACTGACAGTTGAGGTCGCATATGATATAAATAATTTTGTTAACTTGTGACAAAAGATTGTCTACATGACAGGCTTAGCCTAGCGTAGAAATCTCAGTTACTTTATGAACTGAAGCGTATGTCGGTACAACCTTAGCATTAAACGGGTCTTTAAGGAAATGTATGTACAACAATGCAATGTAAGAAATGTAAAAAATGTTAAAGTTGTTAAATAAACTTTTATTATTTATTATTATTATTAAAATATATTTGTGAGACAAGTTGTAACAAAACCTTTAAGTTAATTTGTAACAGTTTCAACTACTTAGTGAATGTGCGTTGTCTAAACGCACAAACGCACTAATTAAGAAAAAGAAGTTAAAAGCTTTTTAGGGGTCATTATGATCCGCAAATCATAAATGAAAAGCAGTGATTTAACTTTAGTAATAAAATTTAACCGGAGATGCTTCTAGTCTAGTTTTCCATTCCAAAATACGTACTCTTAAGTTCACGACTATCATTAAGATAACGTTATTAGGATGCTCCAAAAAGCTATGTTACAAATTACGTGAGTTTAGAGTTAATTAAGAAAAAAAACATTGTTACAAGATGCCCCTCGCTCTCCCACTGATATACTTGGTCGATAGATAAATCGATTTACGATCGATTGGTTTGGCTACACCCTTATTCGATAGTCTGCATGATCTGCATCCATTGCAAGATAATTGACAAATTAATGAAGCGAAAAATCAATTTTAACAACGTAACATAAGACCAGAGTGATAGGTTTGGGACTTATGCTCAACCAAAGACTAATCAAATACAACTTTAGTACAGATGGGACAGTTAGGGTATCAGAGGAACAGAATTCTAGAAGGGAGATTAACTCTACTGTTACGTAATTGTAATAAGATGCGATGAATTATTATTATACTAGATGAAATCTATCTAGTTCTAATCTACCGATCCATATATTTTTGTGATATTTGATGGGGAGATACAATTCTTCACTAACTCGAGATTCTGTATTAAGAATCATTTTTAGATGGCTCTTCTGGTTGAACTATCAGGTCATGAAAAAGTCGAGGGCTATATCGAGCTGATTCTAGATCTTTTTATCTAAAATATTCTAGTAAATTATTGAATATTGAAGGGATTGTTCAAAGTGAGATATTTTAAAGTACGTAAGTTCATTAAGATTATTTGATCAGCAAGCACTTCTACACTTTGATATTACGAGAAATAATATAGCAGACTTAACGAGAACTCTAGCAAATATTATTAATTATTCAACGTAAAATAATATAGCTTTCACGGCCTGGTAGTCACTTCGAAGAAGCGCCGATTTATTATAAAATGTTAATGTATTTCCACATGATTAGACCACCCTACAGCATAATCGAACATTGTTATGTAAACGTTCACAAACTTTTCAACATTACAGGGTGAAGTCGAAAACAATTGACGAACTTTGAGGGGTGAGCTTTTATGAATACATACCTACCTACCTATATGTTGTGAGGATAAAAGAAAATTGTTTATTAATGACCTAAATAATCTGATGATGAGAGAGCTCTATTAATTAGTTGAGTCGGGTCATAAGTATCGTAAAGTTTTTATAACACTATCAATCCCGAAAGTATTTTGCATGTAAATTTAATCATAACAATTTGGACCCGTTAAATTTAATCAACTGTTTTCAAATTCAACCTGTGTTAAAAAAAACACCTTAATGAAGGTTATTTTAAATTAGCAAAGTTATTTTCATACAAAGCAAGTTTGCAATCGTCTGGAATAATGATCACACAAAAACGTCATGCTGTTTTAATTAAAATCGAGGGATCAATCTATAAGCGGACTTAAAACTATACGTATTGGACGGATTCACAAAGGACATGCTCAGTACACAGGGACCTAAAATACATAGACACGGGCTTGAAATTGGATATAGGGTAGGCCACAATTAATTCATAGCAAGAGCATCTAACTGGTACCGACAAATGGACAGACAAACGAGGTGAGAAACAAATGAATCGATTATCAGGTGCGCATCTATCTTTAGATTTGGTTGTTGAGGACACTATGATGATCAGCGCGGCATTCGACGGCGGCTGCCTCCAACTGCTGCATCTAACAGACTTGCGGGAACGGTGGAAGATCAATGCAGAGTAATAAATCCTAGATCACCTTTCCTCGTCAGATTCTGTAGGACTAATTTTTAACCACCGTAGATTAGATGGCATTAACGACACGGGAATCCTATATTGTTTATTAGCCCTGGAATAGACACTATACTGTCGACATTTCTAACTCTTGTAGAAAGAGGTCGCCCATTGTTAAAGGATTCGCTGCCTTGATTCCTAAAATACGCTATTGTTTGTAGGAAGAGCCATTGTTATGGCCGAAGCTCTAAATAGGCAACGTTAACCTTTATTTTGTTCTTGATTGGAAATTGAAGTGGCAATTTTAGTGGATCATGGAAGCAATTCCTTACAATGGCTGTACTGTTCCTTAGGGCTTATTTGCACATTTTAATACTAACTAAGAAATGTACTAAGTTAATTAAATTATACACAAAATATGGATAAGAAAGTAAGTCATAAAGTAGGTAACTCGTATGTAATAGGAGTCATAATTTTATTCAAATAGAACAAAATAATAATAAGAGTAATTATAATGCTAACCTGTCACATAAAAAGTTTAGTCAATTAAGTCAGTATTGTGATATTTCGACTGCTAAATCCTAGATTCGTTAAAAAACGTTGCGGGTCCAATGACAGTTTAAACGTTCCCCCGGGAACTTGACCTTCATCGGTTGGGTATTTATTGGCGGTCAAGCTGTAGATCTATCCTGGCTACGGTGGGTAGGTACGAGAGGAGGGTATAAGTAGGTACATACATAGTCCTGTGCCAATTTATAGAAAAATTATTGGTCAAAATTCCAATATGACGATTATCATTTGTCGATGACGAAGCGAATCAAAATGTCAGTAAGGTACTACTCGATCTTTGCGAGCGCAGCTTTGTTAAAATTAGAAAATATACAAACATACCTATTTAGATGCCTGGTCCTACTGAGTACTGTTTTATTGCCTTAACCGTAACACCTACAATTACCATTTCAATTGAAATTGAATCAAAGGGCTTATGTACGAGTATTGTTACATTGTTATTGATTGGACGATTGGTTTCTGACCGAGATTTGCATTATATGTTAAACAGAGACACCTAACTGTGACATGCATACGTACTGTATTCTAAATTCCAGTTTGCTTTCGATTCGCTCATAGAGTCTAACTTTATTCTATCTGTGTGCCTACCATGACTTTACGTTAGGTGAGTTCGCTAGCGAATACGTCAAAAAATTCTATGAAGGTCTTATTTCTTGAAAGTAGCCACTAGGGGCGCTGCACAATATGTCATACATTTAAATGTCATTTTTTTACGCAGTCGCTAGCGAGCACACCTAACGTAAACTCATGGTAGGCACACTTATGTATATTGATATAGTAGGTACTTAAGAATAAATACCAGAGAAATAAATATCTGTACTGTAGTACATACGAATACACTCAACCGCTACAAGTTTTATTTACTTCTTTTATTGCGGGACTAGATGTGTTACCTACATAGCTGGGCATTAACTCGTTAATCCGTTAATCGTTAATTAACGAAGTTAACATTTCTATTAACGGATTAACTTTTAAGTTAACTTTAAAAAATGTTAACGGACTCGTTAACTTCCGTTAAATTATCCTAAGTCCGTTAATCGTTAATCCAGGTACCTACTATTTACCAAAATCATGCTGAAAAACGCTAGAAAAACGCGTTCTGACAAGTACGTTCGGGTTTCCAGAACTTCCAGAACCCTAAACATCAGTTTTTGTAACCAGATCACTAACGACACTTATTAGTATGTGTGGGACAACTCTTGCAAATGAATTTAAGACCATTTTTCTCAACCGATTGAGCTGAAAGGTATACTGTAAGTACGATGACAATGCAATGTTATGGTACCATTGAGCTGGTCGGATGATGGAGTCATGAGGTAGGTAGGAACTCCTAAATGAAAAAGCGGCATCGCATCGAATTTGGGTTCGTTGGATTTGTCTTTTTGAGCACTTTAGTACTAGATGATGTCCAGGGTCCTGATGATGGAGTCAGAAGGTGGCCATAGGAATTCCTAAACGAAACGGTGGAAGCTTATCGAGTTTGGGTTTGCTGGATTTGTCTTTTCAAGCACTTTGGTGCTAAATTATTACAATAAATAATTGAACCAAGGCTCTGAGATTGAGATACTACCACAGAATAATAATAAGTACTACGTACAGAAGTTTTACTTCGCGAAGGTATTTAAAAAAATGTATGTTCAATGTCATTAACAATATGGTGTAATTTAGCTTGTCTCAAGAGTCAAGCACCATTTTGTTGACAAACGTCAGTGATCGGTACTGCGCCGAAGCTATAGGGCTGACTTCGGTAAAATGATGTGACGTGAGGTCCCAAACTGCAAAAAATGGCGGAGGAAATACATGATTTAGCATGAATAATATTAATTAACTACTTATTTACCTCTCAGTGTCTTCAGGCAACTTAAAAAAGTACATTCTGTGTTTTTATTATTATTTAGGCAGTTAAATACTGCACAGTATTTAGTAAACCATTTTCTTTATTTTTTTCCATCATAAACAAGAATACGCGTGCGTCAATGTTCGCTCGCATGACTCACGGAGATGAACAGGCCTGATACTACTTACTCAAAATTATAATAATTAAAAAACTTATTTAAAAACAAGATTTTATTCTGAAATGCAGTTGTACTAAAACGAAAAAAATAATTGTAGTTACTTATGAAAGGTTCAATTAATTTCGAAAGCTTGTAGCACAAACATAAAAGAGGAATAAATTCCATGCGCGATACAAGCTTTCGAAATTATTTGAACCTTGCATACAATTATTTTTTTCGTTTTATTATCATGTGTTAACGGATTAACGATTAACGTTAACTTGCGTTAAATCTTGCAAAATTTAACGTTTTAACGTTTAACGAAGTTAATTTTTATATTAACGGTTTAACGATTAACGAAGTTTACTATTTGATTAACGGTGCCCAGCTATGGTTACCTAGAAGTAGCATTCGTTTACTTTGAAATGAAATATTTTTCCTATCAACTGGAATCATTTTTCTGTGAGTCAAAGAGTATTGAGGACATCGATGGTCTGTTATATACACATTTGAAACTTTTGAAATATCTCTATTGCTTTGCTCGGTTGCGGTCCACACAACTTTACATTTATAGTTGCAATTTACTGCGAATTCTCAATAGATAAAAACTTGGGGTAAATAATGTTAAAGTATGTATTTTAGAACTCGCTTTAAGTTCAGTATTTATATTAGTCTTTTTAGAAGGTAAAGTAGCTTTAACAATCAAGTATTAAATTGAGCTTTAATGAGAACTGCGTAAATTCTTCGTCACAATTATAAGTAACTAACTTACGGTCAATTTAGTTGGTAGTTGAGATTGATTTATCGTTGCCTTATACCTTTTTTGTAAAGGCTAATGAGTAGATCGAAGTACTTTTCAATATATTAAAATGTTCTCACTTATGAAAGTAAAGTGCGACGTCTTTAGATACCTCGAATGCGGTTTATGCAGTTGAACACGGTTTGCTAAAGGATATTACTGTAATTGATCCCTTTTAGTCTCGAGCCCTGGTTTTTATTTGTGATGCTTTTAGCGCTAAAACCACCACTTGGAATCACATCTGATCGCATTAAATAGCTTTACCACCCAGCTATTAGCGCGGACAACGCTGCATCTGTGGCGGAACGTAAATATCTGGGTACCTGGCTGTGTCCCATTAATGGATTTAGGTATCAGGATCAAGCATTAAAACGTATAATTATGAAGGTTTAGATTCTTCTCTTCTTCTACACTAATACTCTTCTTACTGCCTCACAAAGAGATGCTTACTTACTCTCAAAGGTACGATAAAATCTAAGTAAAGTCACCACAGACTGTCGAGTCAAATTCATTCAGTTGCAACTACATTAGTAGGCACCTACATAAAAGTGCAGAAATAAATGAAGTTCATGATTAAAATTATTTAGTTCTGTTATAAAAAGAAACAGATATTTCATTCATTAAGCCAAAATTCTCATCTGCATGCGCATCATTATTTATAATTAAAATTTTTAAGCATCTGAAACTTGAACTCCGTGAAAAATAATGAATGTTCTTAGTTAACTCACATAATTAACGCAAATTGTGCTGCGCTTAAGCCTCGCTTACAGGCTCTTTGCAAAGATAAATCTAAAGGCTACTCCTAAGTGGAGATTGAGTAAAGCTCAGCCACTCTTTGTGTGGCCGTTAACGTGTTAATTGCTTGTGAGTAAAATGAAGTTAGTTCCGTTAACCGATCCAATATTCCAATATTGCGGCAAGCCAATAAAGCTATTGCGTTAACTTAATTGACGCGCAAAAACGATTTGATGCATCGGAAATCCACAACGCCCGAGTAATACTATGTCGAACAATTTAAAGGATAAAGCGTATATGTAGGTACCTAGGGTAGTTCAATTACGCAGTTAGCGACAAAAACCATCTGTGCTAAAAACTAGTTAAAATCTATCCGAACCCCGTCCTAAATTCGGTTTCAAAGTTATCCGTGGCTGCATGCAAATTCATGCTGTAAATTAAATTGCATCAAAGGCGAAGTGTGTGCATGAGTTAGATTCTTTTTTACAGGCCCTTTGTGTTACACGTGCTTTGTTATACGTGTTTTTTAAAAACCACCACTGTATTTGATTACCGTCTTTCCATTTTACAGACAGGCCGGTAAATGGAACGCGATGTTAAGTGTAAAAAAATCGTAGAAAAGTTCGCACAAAGCACACTTAAGCACACGAAATAATTAAAAAGTCCCATTATAATAATTGGGTAGTATTTGGCAGTTGGAACATTCGGTATGACGAAAGGAATACATTATTTTTTTCTAAAATATAAATGTAAAAAGACTGCATTCGACATAGAATGCCTTACATTGTTTAACTAGGCAACAGCTAACTTAAGCATTTCTTTTCCTTCTAAATAACTGGCGGACTTTATTGCATTTACTTTCGTCGCCAGCTAAGTGCCATCCCGCCAGCAGCATTTCATCGTACATTTTTGCGGTGCAATTGCGTCAACTGCACAAAGAGGCTACCGTTTTCATTTCTTAAACGATCTTAATGAACAGATTCCATCAAGGGTGCAGCTAGACCACTTACTCGAGATAATAAAAGAATATCTGGAATCCTATCCTACCCTCTAATGAATAAAGTAACTTGTTGGTTCCAGAACAATACGGAGGTAAACGCAATATAAATTCTTTTTTAAACACAATTTCAAGCCAAGAAACGTTTTCAGGTAGGTTCCATAAAGTTCTATAAAGTCACTTCACTCATATTTTGTTAAAAGTGTTACTTTGTAGGTAATTGCCCCGAATGGTTATTTAACTAGGCCGGCACACTTATGTAGTGTGTTTTAACTTTTATGTGCACTAGATAAATAAATAAATAGCCCGGTGACAAGATGCATTGCATCCTGCATCACACCCCTGGAGCGCGTTAAACTAGTTTTCCGATACAACGTCGTTTTTCCGCTCGGAAAGTGTTGCGGGACTACGATAATCGTATTAAAGTGGCTCGTTTTTCTCTTGTTAAAAATTTCAAAAGCGACTAAACCCTCATCCGATAAACTTTATGACGGTGACCAATAATATTAGGGCTTTAGTATCAAACACAGGACTCTTTCATATTATTTTTTCGTAAGGCGGCTATAAACATATTATGTAACTACCTACACGTTAAAATAACATTTCAGATTATATTTTATTATTATTTCAGATTGAGAACTTTTATGTGCAAAAGTTTAAACAAATATAAATGTTTATGTTGTTATTCGTAGTATTAGTCCACTGCGCGGAGTTAACACAAACATCAAGCTTTTATGATAATTACCGCTTCTCACTCAGTTTACGGTCAGATGAATATGACTACATTGTCAATGTGGTGACGCGTGACAATCCCCTTACGTAGTAGGTACTAAAATAACACGTCGCTAGTAACTCCTCATGCACTTTATTTCTATGCTTCACAAGAAGTATTATTTCCAACACTACTATTATGGTATCATTTTTCCGTCAGTTATCCATAATCCATTCTCCTTTATAGATATCTCAGTATGTGACAGGCTGCTTTCATATCTTATGACTTACTTTCATTAACTACTATATATATTTGAGATATGTGTGCCTACCATGAGTTTACGTTAGGTGAGCTCGCTAGCGAATACGTCAAAAAATTCTATGAAGATTTTATTTCTTGAAAGTAGCCGCTAGGGGCGCTGCACAATATGTCATACATTTAATTGTGATTTTTTTACGCAGTCGCTAGCGAGCACACCTAACGTAAACTCATGGTAGGCACAATGTACTAGAGATGCGCCGGAAAATTTTGCTAGCCGAACAACGAATGTTGAATATTATCGGGTATGTGCTGCGAGCAAGCGGTCGTATAACAGGTTTGCACTTGTCACTGAAACGCGGGGGAACCTCGCCTTTCTCCGCTATCACCTTCAAATAGTAACGACGTCACTAAAAGCACGTCATTGACCGTTTTGACGTAAATCGAATAGACTTGCAAGTTGCAAGAGAGAGCAGAAACCTTGCTTTTCAAAACCCACTATTCTTTGCTAAATAGAAAAAGGTTGTTAAGTACCACATTTTCAGTTTAAAAATGATAACTGACAACTTAGTACGCATCAAATATAATCTCTTAATTTTTGATACGAGTATATTAATAAGAACAATAGGTATACATTGACTCATTCGATGGGTTTATTATTTTATATTTTTATATTCATACTTATTATTTTATATTATAAATATTTGATTATGGTATTTTAATATTGAATTAAGCGTATTATTTTTTTTTAAATATCCTTGGACATTTTACACTGCGGTTCTAGTCCCAAACTAAGCAAAGCTTGTACTATGGGTACTAGACAACGGATATAAACATACTTAAATACTTTTTTTTGTAAATACATACTTATTATACATAGAAAACACCCAGTCCAATACAAACAAATATGTTCATGCACACAAATGTTTGTACTGTGCGGGAATCGAACCCGCAACCTCCGGAATAGTAGTCCGTTTCGAACCACTACACCAAACGGCCGACATTTGTCAAATAGGTACGCAGAATTTTCGGTCGAATACGTATACGGAATAATAAATGAATACACGGCGCATCTCTAGACTCTATGTAGATTCCACCAATTTGAATCCTGAGTCACGTCCCTTTAATTTGTCTGAATTGGTAAACTGTTACCTTACTGCAGCATGATTGTGAAACATTTCAGCAATAAAGACATTGTTTGAACTTTGAATATAAGGATCAAATGTCCGTGAAATCCCTGTATAGGTATATATAATAGGTAGATAACATGGAATTTTCAGACTTATGAATTTTTAAAATCCGTAACGTTGTCAGGAAAAACTATGAGTCTAGGAGGCTTCGTTTTTATCAACGCTTTGAAGTTTGAAGGGTGGCGCGTGGAGGTCAGGATTCAATTTGTTTGACTTTTTCCTTAATAACTAAACTGTATTTCATTAATTTGTACCCATCAGAAACAGGAAAATATACTTACAGCCCGATTCTCAATTTATCTAAATTTTCGGCGATTAGTGTTTTAGTGCGACTTAGATTTGGGTTCTGTCGTATTTGCCTAGGCTTTTCAATTTGCACGGATGGTTGGTAACCGCTTTCGGGTAAACCTCCGATTTTCATATCAGCTAAAAATAAAATTCATTTTAATACATTTACGACATGACTTGATTTTAACAAATTGTTATTAATTAAAATAATAAAGACAGCGTCCATAATTGTATCTAAAATGATACCACACCAACTCTATAACATTATGGATGCAATAAATAATTGAGTATGTATCTATTTAAAGCTGATTTGTAACCTTCAATGCATTTTAAATTTTACAGGAAAAGCTTCGACGTGGCCTTTTCATTTATGCATTAAAGAGACAATTAACTGAAGTTAAGAGTACTTTGTAGTCAGTGGAGGGTAAGGTAACAAGGCTGATAGAATGTTGGATGTCCGCGAACGGCCATAAAAACATTTGCTCTTTCACATGCACCCTGCTATTAGCCGCATCGAAGCCTCGATTATATCAAAATTATCATATTATTTATTACAAGGGAAAATGCCAGTTCTTGGAACTGTATACAGTGCCCGAATAAGGGTACTTATTGCACCAATTGACTTGGTGACGGTGTGTAAATGTAATATTTATTGGTTTTCCCACTCATACTGTAATTAAACACATATTTTTTCGAAGACTGTTTCGTCTATTTAATTGTAGGTGGATATTAAATTGTAAACAAAAATTGTGTTCGTAAGTCGAAAGATCTCTGAAAGATATATTAAGATAGATGATAGATATTTTGATGTCTTTCTCTAGATATATGCTTATGCTTATGTCATAATATATGCTTGTTCTACAAAATGGTAAGAGCTGAAAAGACTCAATAGCATGGAATTACGAGTACTGGATATATTTTAAAAATTAATACTCACGTTTATAGGCGGCTTTGGTAGAGTACGGCGCAAAGTATCCCGTCTGGTATGGCGTGTAAGCGAAATCTTTCGGCATCTCTTCTTTGTCGTTTTCAGCATTCTCCTGGGGTTTTGTGTCGGTCTCCGTAGGGTTTTCCTGGATCAAGGCACTGGGTGGCAGCGGTTCGTTGGGGCGCGGGTCGGGGATGTCGGCTTGCATTCGCTCCATCACCGGGCTGACGAACATCTTCATGAAGTATGGTTCGTCTACGATCATCCGCGCGATATCCTTCTCGTATGTGCCCATAGCATCTGACGGCTCCTCCATCCCATTGATTCTATCTATTTCCTGCATAAAATATGGGAAGGTAAGGACTCATTGTCTATTTACATGGGTGTACCTAGGCGCGGGCAGGGAAGGGCAGGTGCCCGTCTGGAAAAGTTATAAACCTCTAAATCTATTTAAAAACCAGTCTTAGATGATTTTGCCCTACGTCATCATCACTCCCTGTATCAGACTGATCCCTTGGGAAAAACTGGGTATGGTATGTCTATTTAAATATTTTATTCAAATACTCGGGTATTTACTTAGTGATCCTATCATCTATGAGGTTGAGTTCTAATGTTTACTTTGAATAATAATTTCGATGTTTGTAAGAGCCTTGAAACGTATTGTGTAATGTGGATTTTACAAAACCCACAACCCTGTATGACCACGTTTATTTTAAAATTACGCGACTGAATGCATGTTATTTAACGTGTGACCCAATTTGTTTTAAGTAAATGGAAATATCTGATCGGCACGAAATAATTTACGTTTGTTTTCCAATGAATGGATTTCTGAGTAAAATTATATTTCTCTCTTTTATAGCTCAAACAGAATTCGAGTCACAAAGGATGAATTATGTGGGTGTGGCTCTGTTATGCCGGCTAATAACATGTCATTAGACTGCCAGGTAAAGGCCTGTGTTTCATGTAAGCCCTACTGTAACTGCCCTTTCAGATATTATGTCTACTCACAACTAGTACCCAATATAAATAGGAATAGGTATTTTTGTACGAGCATCTTACCGAAAAACTTACTATTAAGCTCTTTGAATTACGGAAACTTTAATTAAAAAAAATAGCATTTCATTATTTTACCACATATTCTTGATAGCTCAGTATTTGGAGGACCGCTTGGTCGACATTATAAATCTAATGTAAAGTAAATGCAAAGAAGCTCTAAATTTCGCTAACACTATTCCGTTAGAAGATTGCTTACATACTTCAGTGCAATTTAAAGCAAGTTAGTAATAGTACGCTGAAGCTTTCTCGAAGCAGCCGGGATTGTTTGCATTCCAGGAGTCGATTGTGTACAATGAAAATAAACCCTTCAGCCGTCAACATTTGCCCAGGGCGCACCTACAGCTACACTAATAGAAGTATAGCATTTCCTGGGCACCAATTCGCCTGCAGTCGGGTTTACCGTTTACGCACCAGCGCTCGAATCCAGTTAATTTACAACGTCGTCAAGCCTTCGCTCGAATTTGAGTGTAGTATTTTATTAATAAAACTTATTATTTTGGGATAAACATTAAACATGTACATTTTTATAAAACGTAGGTACTTATTATATTACCTTACTAAGTAACCGTAGTTAATTAACTTAGGTAACTTTATGTTCGAGTAAATAGTTGAGTAAGTATAAATTGCCATAAGTAAATACGTCAAATAGTTTATTGTAAGAAGTTAAGTACCTATTTCATATAAAATTATTAAATCACAAACTGAATTACGTAAAATGAGCTGCTCTTAATATGAGAGATGGTACCCGAATTTACATATTAGACAGATCTCTCGTGTTTCACTTAACCAATGCAGCGCCGGCTCCGGTCGGGTCGCTGATAACAAACAATATAAAGCGGCGCTGGCTCCGAATGCTCTGGAAAACTAATCTAATCGCGCCCTCTCGTAAATACATTTGGGACTCTCAAGTCTACAAACTAGGTAGGTACGTCGAAAGTTATGAATTTTTACCGTAAATGAATGAGCATAATAATTAAATTATTTGACAAGCTCGTATATTGCACGGAATGATGTTGTGCCCCAAATTGATTACCGATTTTAATGAATTTACGTACAGGATATTATTGTTTATGTACGCTGTGTGTAATAAGCGTTAAAGTTTGCTGTTCTGGGCCTCATAATTTAACGTTGTTGTACCTCGTAGTTCCGATTTTATTATCAGTTTGCTACGTCCTCAATACATAGTATACTGAAAATTGTATGAGTGCCTAGGATCGAAAGCGAAATTTACACTGTTAGCTGACTGAATATTAAATGAGTCTTAGTAGGCGAGGCTTTATTTATGAGTAAAATCCATCGTATTTTTTAACAAAATTACTCGCACGATGTAGGTACCTAGTCCTTGTTTGTGTTGTATGTTCCCACATTAAATTGAAAATTAATTGCGTCTGCAATGACCAGAGTGCCCGCTGCACTTGAGTGGTTAATTCACGCTGCGGTTTGAGCGGCTTACGTTTTATGTAGAGTTTGCTTATTACAAAATACGTTGGTCATTTTCATAGTATCCACCACGATGACATAAAAAGTGGCCAGTTCAACATCAAAATCACGGTTAAGTAGGGTAATCATATCATCACATTTTAAATTGCTGTGATCGGTTACCTCGACATAAATTATGCACAGAGCTTTCATTAAGGTTCTTGGATTGATCGATGCAACCCTGAAGACACGACAACTTGTAGAAAGGCTACTTCAATTTTCACTTTATAAATAAGAAAGTATCTCGATTTAATATAGTCTTGCAGATAATACAAAAGTACCTACTACATTAGTGTCAAAGTGTGATAAAAGATATCTTGGAAATGAGTGGGAGATTTTATTTTCGGAGGCACGAAAATAAAGCAAAGCTTTTTGTTGCTTGTGCCTACTTGTAGATTTGCGTTGTTACCTATATCAAATCGTATTGTATCTATTACAAAATTGCAGTCAATTGTTTTACAACGCATAAGTAATCACATCCTTGCAGCTATCATTGGCTTAACATGCAACTTGATGCATCCGACAAGAACGAGGACCGTCATTATTCAATATTGCTAGATGCGTCTGAGAAAATTAGATGCAGTGTAGCTCTGCCGGCTCCCAAGGAATTGATTTAGATTATAAGCTTGTTTGCGGCAAAAGCGATATCAATTTAAAATTAAATTCCCAAGGAAGCAAGTTCCAGCATTTCCAACACTGAACTAGGTAATAATGAAAGGTGTCGGCAGCCGGGGCGGCTTTCAAGATATCTTGCCGTAACTTTAAGATCCGTTATACTCGTAGTAACTTGTTCTGGATCTATTTGTGACTACGTAATACAAAATCGCTCGTACCTAATATTCTTTTAAGCGTTTCAACTTCAAACTTTGCAGAAAGACTTGATTAAAGTTTCTTTTACCGATTACATATATCTTTGGTAAATTGAATAAGTCCTGTGAAATGTGACTATAAAACGTAGTTCACGCAGACGTAATTGGATCGGGGCACTTTTTTGAATTACCATTTTGTATTACGAACTAAGTGATCTTCTTCTATGTGATATTCGACAAATAGCCGATCTTGCTGAGAATAACTGTTGCCGCAGTATTTTAGGCAATACATTGGCATGAATGCTGTTGAAACATTGTTAAACAAATGAAATAAAATAAATAAATAAAATGGCTCTTGCTCGTCTTCTTTGTGTTCTGTCTGACCCCTCAATTCTCAATAAGTTAACCAGGTAATTTCACGCTGACTGTTGCTAGCACGAATTCCGCCTTCCTAAAATCGTGCATTACCTTATTGAGCCAATCATCGCGTGGCGGTAAGGCAAGCCGAGGGCTGCCTTCGTAGCCGAGATACTGGGGGATGAGGATGCGAGGCAGCGAGTAGTCCCCGAGCAGGCCATGGGAGATCTTGGAGACCACCTGCTGGGACTGCGATATCGGCGGGTCCGGTGTTTGCGTTGGCCCTGGAAACGATACTTTAATGTAACTTCATTTTAGGATAAAAGGACATCATTCTTTTTGGGCCTTTTCTAAAAGTGCCGGCCAACAAAAAATTATGGTACGTATTGTTAGAACTAGCCATTTGGAGCAATAGTTAATATGGCACAAAAGTTGTAGGACCACTCAGAACCAAGTCATACAAGTTCGATGATTCATCATTTTCATACATTTATTGACTTTTAAAGTGTTGGCAAACTTGAAAATAATTACATATATGTTTTGTTAGAAACTCATGATCCAAAACAATTATCAACCGACCGCTCTAAGTTAGCGATCAAATGACGCGATGACGAAACGAAAAAGATACATCCGTGGCCCGCGCTAGCAGTGTCGCTGTGGCCGAGAAGAAACGAGCAAACATGCCAGCCAATAGGATGGCTCGGAGCATACCCGTCAGTGAATGAGACGGGGACATTGAAAACTGAAGTGAAGGTCATCCAGTTATCCATGCGACTCGCGTTACATCAAACGGCTACCTGCTTGCGTTATCGTTAAACATCATTGTTAAAGCCCGGTCGCCGAGTACGTAGAATTTCGTCCAATGACCCCAAGCTATCCATCTTTTTCGCTCGCACGAATCTATGTTGCTGTCGCGCTCGCACACTCACTGCGGCCGCCCGTCGCACAATCGCGACAGCAATAGGTATAATTACGTGCGAGCGATAAGGATGGGTAGCTTGGGGTCATTAAGCTGTCGTGGAGATATTGGTACACGGCGTAGATACACCTGAGCCCCGATTACGGTAACTTTTAACGTCAACAATCCAGACACGCTTCTCGATTCTGCGATACGATTGGTCAAAACAACTGACGTACGCTGTTGAACGACCAATCGTATCGCAGAATCGAGAAGCGTGTCTGGATTGTTGACGTTAAAAGTTACCGTAATCGGGGCTCTGGGCTTCATGAGAGGAAGGTTTTATAAATATTGCTCAGATTATAATGGATGAACTGGTGGAAAATGAAGTAACATGAAAACTACTTTTTTGTCACTTAAATAACTGAACAGACAATGAACCCACACTTTCGCACTATAATGACAGATGCTTCAAATACATAACTAGTTCTAGCAATATCAATAATCATTATATGATTCTCTGCACTTTCAAAAATCAATAAATGCATGAAAATGATGAATCATCGAACTTGTATAACTTGGTTCAGAGCGGTCCTACAACTTTTATGCCATATTAACTATTGCTCCAAATAGCTAGTTCTAATAATACGCACCATTTTTTTTTGTTGGCCGGCACTTTCAAAAAAGGCCCAAAAATGTATGAAGCCTGAATGATCTCCTTTGTTAAGTATCTTTTAGCTAGGAATTAAATTCGTCGCGGGGATCTAAAGGCCCAGCCAATAAACACCCAGACTAATCCTAAGTTCTTAAATTCGAAGTAGCCGACTATGAGAGCGTTTGACGAAGTACTCGTAGAGTTATCGGAGAGTAAGGATAATAACCTTACAAGAGACTACTTTTTAAAAACATGCGAGGACACAGCTGTAAACTATTCAAAAGTATGCTCCTAATTGATTTATTACTATCACCTAATTGAAAAATGGAGCATGAAATTTTTCAGACAACGTGTCCTGCCAATTAATTATACAAAATATGATTTTAATAGGCCTAATCAAACATAACAAATTGAGTGTTTGTGTATTTACATTACGAATCCATGTCTCTTTTGCATAGAAAATAATTCTGTTCATGAAATAAAAGGCTCAATTACCGTGAGGTAATTAAAACAGTTGGTTTACTCAAATAAACTGTGCTAGAAAAATTCAAAACAATTTACATTACCATCGCGGTAGATATTTGATATTAGTTAATTGATGATATCTTCTTCTTCTATCTATCTATTATATAAAAGAAAGTCGTGTTAGTTACTCCACTTATAACTCAAGAACGGCTGAACCGATTTAGCTGAAAATTGACAGAGAGATAGTTTAGAGCCAGGAGAAGGACATAGGATACCTTTTATCCCGTTATTTATTGCCATTAAGGCGGAACAAAGTTCGCCGGGTCAGCTAGTCTTCTATTATATAAAAGAAAGTCGTGTTAGTTACTCCACTTATAACTCAAGAACGGCTGAACCGATTTAGCTGAAAATTGTCAGAGAGATACATAGTTTAGAGCATAGGATACTTTTTATCCCGTTATTTATTGCCATTAAGGCGGAACAAAGTTCGCCGGGTCAGCTAGTTATTTATGAACAAGCTTCGTAATGAACCTAATAGCGTGGGAGTAAAAGCCAGTTTACGAGAAAAAGTGTGCTTCTTCGAATAGTCGCTTGTAACAAGCCGTCTACTAAAATTCGTTCTTAGGACTTTTGGATTAGACTAATCAATATAATTGATGTTTTTATAGACAGTTTCCGCGCTTCCGGTTTTACTATCTTAGAACACCTAGGGCAAATTCCACATGTAGAATTTTAATAAGCTTATTAATTTACAACATAGTGAATTAGTCAATCCATCAAATTAACGACACAGCCGATTGCTCTGTATCGAAATTACAACGTGTATTCGAATGGTCTGCGATGCGATTGACGCGATTACGCACGTGCACCGATTAGTCGGCGATTTGCGGCGCAGTCGATCGTCAGGGTAAGTGGATATCAGTCAGATTAATCTGAAGATAGGCTTCGTAACCGCAATAGTGCAGTACCGAAACGTAGAAACTGACCTGATGCAGATTTGTTAGACGATTATTGTATAACTAGCGGCCCGCCCTAGCTTTGCATGGGTAGATAATAGGTTTCTAATGGTCAAATAAATTGTTTTCAAATTGGTCCTATAGTTTCGGAGCTTATTCTATACAAACAAACAATCAAATATATGCAAATTTTCTACTACGTCTGTATATACATTTAAAATGTATACGCGCACTATTATTATTATTTATGTATGTATATTTTATGCAGTGTAGGTTAGTGTCCGTGACTCTCACTCGGCATGGGGCACACTGAAAACCAGCGTCGTGGCTTCCCTCACCGGGGGCCACGGCATATGCTGAGTGAGGTCCCATTGCGATGGGCATCGCTGTGCGACAGGGTGGCACTGCTTAGTTTATTCATTCATTTATTGTATGTTTTATGTCACCTCTGTCTTATTTGCTTTTTTTTTTCATTTTACCTCTTTTGTCTTTTGTGATGTCCATAGCAATAAATGTTTCTTTCTTTCTTTCTTTCTTTCAAATTGAGTTGACCTTAACCCGCTACGGCGGGCCGGGGGTCCTGTTGTACCAGGGGCACGAGGAGAAAACCTCTAAAACAAATGGAGGAGGGGATTGGGGGTTCCCTCGAAGCCGGAGAGGCTCGTTCGTGAGCGAGCCTGAGGCGGAGCTGCGGGCAAATCCAATCCAATTCAATCCAACAAGGACAATAACTCACGGCTCCGTTTCTTTGGGCTCTGGTGGACGAACACCATCGGGTTTTAGTGGGTAGGCCCCGCCTTTAGTGACCAACTAGATAGACAAGTTACCTTATTCTTTATTAAAACACAATTAAAGTGGGTAGGTATTAAGTATTCTCAGAAATACACATAGAATAATACAAATTTTCTTTTAAGTCCATAGGACGAGAGGCAAGGATGAGATTTAAAATTAAATCCGTATAAACCCACCAATCAGCCCGGCCATGCTGATTTAATTTTCCAGAGTAGGGCCTCGGCATGATTATATTGCTTTCCAATCAAGCTCGGCATCTCTTTAGCTGGAACTGCGTCCAGTAAAGAGGTCAGGGCTACGTTGTTATAGCTAAGCTTAGTGAAATGAAAACGCAGATCAGAATCCGCTGCTGTGCCGCATGATGCCTTAGACAGAATTAATAATATCTCGTTGGATAATATTTTTCCTGATGTCCGCCAGTGAGGGACAAATAATGTGGGACAACGGGAATAAGACAAAAGGAAAAGGCAGTGACAACAAACAATCAATTAAAGACCTATTATTTTAATACTAATACTTATTGACCGACCATGCACGGTAAACATCACGAGTACCCACTGAACTGAAGGTAAGGGCGTAAACGGACCATTATTGCATATTAAATGATATAATATTCGTTGCACTGTTCATTTCCCACCTTGGGCAGTAATTACTTTGGTCGACAGTGTGTAATTTAATAGAGCTTTCAGAACCAGCGACCCTGACAGACTTTGCTATCGGCATTGGAAAGCATATTTGATCAGCTCAAATTATGCATTTGATGTTTTATGAGCTTTCCGTCCCACATTATAAAGGGGTCACGATAATGCTAATCGATCAGGTTAATTGCTATTAATTGCTGTTAACTGCAAACGATTTTCACAGCGTACTTATTATTTATTGGTAGATTACAGACATTAAAAGTTAGTTAGATATTTAATATCGTTTTAGCGATCCAGAATTTAGAAATAAAACATATGGGAAAAGGAAGGTTTCAAATGGATGACGAATGTCCAAATGGACATAAAAGTATTAGGACTCCACGAACAACGAGCGTATCTTTATCTTAAAGGCCGGCAACGCACCTGTAACGCCCCTGGGTCTGCGGGTGTCTATGGGCGACCGGTAATCACTTACCATCAGGTGATCCGTCTGCTCGTTTGCCTCCTATCACTTAAAAAAACATGATGTTCGAGAACTTCGAGATAGAATAGAACGGGATTAAATGGCGGCCCATGATTGGGAAAGCCGACCCCGCGCAACGGAATAAGGCGAAGCAAAAGAAAAAGCTTTCGCGAACCAGAATGCTAAAGGTGACACATGAGCCAAATCAGTACAAAAACATAATAGTATTACCTTAGGTATATTAATCTCACGAAGATGCGCTTGCGCTTGGTTTATTGATGATATTTGTTATTAATTGACAAAAACTTTCATTACGTTATCTCTACATACAGCAAATGTTTTTGCCATTTCTATGGATTTCTACAATAGGTATTATTTTCTACCCCCGTTAAGCGTTAACGAAAGCTCTGTCAA